AGAGAGAGAGAGAGAGAGAGAGAGAGAGAGAGAGAGAGAGAGAGAGAGAGAGAGAGAGAGAGAGAGGAGACTGATAGGTAGATGACTACAGTAAAGAGAGCAGGATATCAAAACCTGTTGAACGCAACCGGAAGAGGAGAAAGGCGACAAGAGAAAGATTGATGAGACGAAGCGGAAGAGGAAGGGGGAGCCAAAAAAAGGCCACGGGGAAAGGGAAAGTGGACGGAACTGGTTTATATCTGGCATTGCTTCACGCACCGGTCTCCACGTGGACGCAGGACAACGGTTTGCTGAGCGCGTTGTCGAGCTGACAACTGTGTCAAGCCTTAAGGTCAGACGAGTTGATTCGTCTGCTTTCTCTTCTTCTTCTCTTGTCCTCTGCCTCCTCCTGCTATTGTGGTTATTGCCGTCGTCGTCGTCGTTGTTGTGGTGGTGGTGGTTCTTCCTCTTCTTGGTGATCTCCTCCTCCTCCTTCTCCTCCCTTTTTTGTTCTGCGGGTACTTCTTCCTCCTCTTCTTCATCCTCGTGCAAGGTTGTGGGTGCGTGATCGTGGTGCTTCCGCCTCTCCCTCGTAATCTTCTACTCCTCATCCTCCCCCTCGTGCATGTGTGTGAGCACACACACACACACACACAGACACACAGACACACAGACGTGCGCGCACACACACACACACACACACACACACTTTCTCTCTCTCTCTCTCGCACACACACACACACACATACGTGCACGCACTCTCTCTCTCTCTCACACACACACACACACACACACACACTTGCACGCAAACACATGCGCACTCACACACGGTCACACACGCGCACTCACTCACGGTCACACACGCGTGCGAGCTCACACACACACGCAATATTTCTCTGCTGTTTTCTTTTTCTTATATCGATCACGATCGATCAATTAATCAATCTAATGAGATCAATCGAATAAAATCAAACCAATCAATCAATCTATCGATCATGATCCATCAAGAAATCGATCGATCGACGAATCAATCAACCAATGATTCAATACATCTCATATGCGCGCGCATGCATACACGCACACACGCACACACGCACACATCGCCACGGAGGCGTAAGGAAAAGAGGAGGGGGGGGTTGGCCAGCGTTCGGCTGGCAAGATCTCCAACCCCTCAAAACTTTGGTTTTTTTTTTTTTGTAAAGTTCGTGGGGATAATTACGGCCCCCCGTCTAATGCGGCAAAAAAACGAAAAAAACAACAACATACGAAAGGCTGAAATTCGGCGTTCGGTCTAACGGCTGTTTTGGGGGGAGAGAAACATTTGGCCGTTGGAGCTGGCTACCAACGCCCGGTTATTATCGCTGTATTCGGGGCAACATCAGTCAGGATACAGTCGTAATCACCTGGCGTTCTATTCGGGTGAAGACGATAGTTCGGCCGAACCCAAACAGCTGTAGCTTTGTATACGGCCTTGTACGCAAGAGGTTTTGAATTGGGGGAGTTGTAAAGAAGGAAAAAACAAATTCATTTTTCCCTTGTTTTTTTTCTTTTTCCTTTTTTTTTTGTTTTTGCGCTCTGATATTCTTGTGACAATATATTGGTACTCCTGTTGTTGTTGTAGTTGTGGTGATGGTTCTTCTTGTGTGTCCGAGTGTTGCACATGCGGAGTTTATTGTAGTGCATGCGATGCGAGTACAAGAAAGCCGATGTGGTGATTGCATGTCACTATTCTTCTTCTTCTTCTCCTTCTTCTCCTTCTTCGTCTTCGTCTTCTTCTTCCTTCTTCGTCTTCTGCTTCTTCTTCTGCTTCGTCTTCTGCATCAATCAATCAATCGATGGATCGATTGATCCATGAATCGATCAATCGATCGATCAATCAATCAATCGATGGATGGATGGATCGATCGATCAATCAATCACCCTCTTTTGCTCGCTCTTCTTCCACTTCTCCTTCTCCTGCCTGTTTTCTCACCCTTCCCCTCCTCCTCCTCTCTCTCTCTCTCTGCCCACGTCTCATCACCTGTGTTACTCTTCCCGACGACCTTACCGATCACCTCAGCAATCCCTTCACTTCAAACCTCGTGCCATCGTCCCCGAGTCCCTCTTCATTGCACGCTGATGGAAGAAGAAGAACAGTGAAAACACAGTGGCCATAGACTGCTTCTCGTACATGCAACCGTAGACTGATCCAATTTGAATTCGCTTCGAACCATCTGGACTTGAATGGAATCCAGGACGACGACGTAGCGAAGATCGAGGACGACGACGAAGTAGAGCACCCAGCTCCTGTCCGAGGCTAAGGTGTTAGCAGCCAGGTGGCATTCGGTCGAGGGACACGTTGATAGATAGATAGAGATAGAGAGATAGAGATAGATAGATAGATAGATAGATAGATAGATAGATAGATAGAGAGAGATAGAGATAGATAGAGAGAGAGAGAGAGAGAGAGAGAGAGAGAGAGAGAGAGAGAGAGA